CTTATAATTCAGCACCATTCACCTCTGGGACAGTGAATACTATTATTGGTAGAGTTGTGTCTCTCTCATTCACCTCCTAGAGCATTCTGGAAGTGCCCTTTATAGTTTATTAAAGAATTGGAAAAATACTACCAATTTCATTGTGTTACTATATTATACTACTGTAACATACTATTGCTTTTACTGATGTTCACTCTGTGTAAACAATACTTCTCTGCAGGGCTTAATTTAATTTTTTCTAATGAAGTTCATTCTTTAGTTATTGGTGTGTCTGTGTACTGTGCATCCAATTACAGGGCAGATCATCAATGAAAAAGCTAGGAAAACCCAACATTTACCTGCATCTCCTGCAGGTGTAGTGCTACAGCTACCAGGAAGGTTGGTGGTGACAATGAGACCTGCTTGACTAACTGGTAGGCTGTAGCCTAAACGATTGGACTTTGCAGAATACAAGAGAAGCTGTTGTCTCATGTTGTGTCAGTACAATTGAGGTTGATAGAAAAAAATAGAACATACAATGTCTGGAATGAATGATGTGTAAACTAAGATTCTATAGCTTGCATGTGAAAGAAACCAATTGTTCTTCATGATGGGCCAAAAGTGATTGGTGTCCACCTGTGGGTCCAGATGAAAAAAACTGGAGGTAAGAGGAAACAGATGTGCATCCTGATTGGTGTGACGTCTTCCAAAGAGCAGAGGTCTTGATCAATGATTCTTGATCAATGATTTGGGTCACAGTGGTTGGGACAAAAAGTAACAGACAGACAAGATTGGGAGACCTTGTGTTGAGTAGGTGCAGCTTAGTGCAGCGTCAAAAAGCACACAAATCTTGGATAGCCAAAAACAATGTATTGCAGAACATGTAAACCAGTACAAACAAGCCCAGCAGGAAGGCTCATAAGACTGGGGCACTTACAACAGTTAAGAGCAGAGTCAGGGGTATTTTGGTCTAAACTGCCAACAGCATCTGTCAAGGGGAGCAGAGTGTGGCCTGGCCTGTCCATCCCAAATGGGAGTTTCCTGAAGAGGCAGACATAGGCCCTACTGTTTCCCTACTTCACAGAAACCTCTCCCTACCACTAGTGTTGTCCCAAACAGATGGGTATCCTGTCCCTACACTAGCCACATGCATAAAGTGTGCCAAAACCTGGGAGTAGGAACTTAAAAAGATTCTGCAAGACTGAAGATGGCTGCCAGGGTCACCTGGATTAAGCACATCCAACCCGATCACTGATCCAGGAGGCTAAGGAAACCATATAGAAACTCAGTTTCTCTCAACTTCCTCCTCCAGTTGTAATGCTGTTACAGACGAGTGCCACCTGCAGTGGAGACTATAGACTGCACCTGCCTACACCTCTCTGTAGCATACATGTATATTGCATGCTCATGGCCACTCATTTTCAGCAGAGGATGAAATTGGTGACCATGTTCCAGTGACCTTTCAGTACACTCATAAATTCAGCAGTGGTATATTTTTTTTAATTCTTTTACTTTGCCTAGGCTAAAGGGATGACATCAGCCTGCTGCAGGCAGGAGGAAGCATTTCCTCAGTCTGTTCCCTTCAGTGATGAGACTGCACCATTGTTGGTTTCTTTGTCAGACAAGAAAGAGAAACCCAAACAAGGGTTCTTTGTCAGACATTTGTGAAAAACGTCTTGTTGATGAGTTAAAACATTTTTTGAAACAGCAAGGATTGCATACCAATTTGGTATGTGCTGAAAGATAGCATAATAGTTATTTTGTCTTGGTGTTACTATACTGCTTTTATTTAAATAAAATGTTATGCAGGGTAATGGTAATTATTTTCTTCTGTGTGGCCTGGAGTCAAGTCATTAGGCTGGGGCAGTTTGGTGACCAAGCTGTATTTCTTAGCTCGAGAGAAAAAAAAAATTATATCACCAACCTTGGCAGATATGCTTGGATCACAAGACTGAATGAACAGAATTTAAAAATGTTTTAGTGGATTGTTTGTTCTTTGCTAGCATTGGAAAAAGAAAGTAGTGTGGGCAAATGTGGATTGTCAAATGGAACCCTGTCTATGTATCCAGAATAAATTACAGATAACATTTCACACCAAAACCAAATATTACCACAATCTCCCATCCTCAGACATGAACTAAGCATATCCCTCTATAGTGTGTACTTGTCTCAATTAAGGGCAGTAAGTCTAATTTCTGCCTGCTGATTTGTTGCTCTACTATCAGCATGAATCACTTCTGACAAATTTTCCTGACACCAAGAGTAATAAAGGTGACAGAGGAGGGACCGCCAACACACAGCCTGATTGACAGCCTCAGGTCTGTTCCTGTGAGCTGTGTGGAGGGGGTGTGCCCCTTCCCTCCACTCAGCTCTCAGAGCTCCCTTCACTGAGCTCTGCAGTGTGTAATTGCAGCTCTCCGCCCCTGTTTTCTGAATGCTCAGACAAGCATTATACATTTTGGACTTTGAATGGCTGTAGAGAAGTGAAGACTGCAGATAAACAGGTGCAGCTTATGCAGGAAGAATAATTTCATTTCTGGGTATCACCTAAGGCCAGTCACTGCACTGAGTATATGCAAAAGTTTATAACCATTTTAATTAGTTTAGTATAGTATAGCCTGTCCTGCTACTCCTATACACTGCTGAAAGCTATGGAAGCAGCCAAGTAAATGGATTTGGTGCAAGGTTTGATATTTTATAAAAAGAAAGTAGCATAGAAAGGCTTAATTTCTGACAAAATAACATTTGCAAAGAATCAGCACTTACCATTAAAACCATTTGCTACTTAACATTTACTATAAAGTAGTGTTGCACAAAAAATAAAAAGTGGCATGTATGTCTGTGGTGACTTGCGAAGGCAAATTTTTCTTTATACTTACGGTGTGAAACCATTGCTCTTACCTTTCGGCATGGAAAACAATGCTAAAATAAAATTTCCCTGACCTCTAATCTAATCTGAATCATGAATTAAGACCTAACACTTAGCTCTGACATTCATTCCAACCCAAGCATTTAACCCCTTCGCACCAGCTCCTCCTGGCCCAGGGGAGGACTTACCATTTGGAAACTCGGGCACTGCCCGAGGGCCCGGGGTCAGTAGGGGGCCCCATGAGATGCCCCTGGTACCTTTTTCATAGGCTTTTTTGAGTTTGGGCAAGGACACAGGGGCCCCATGATCCCCCATTGCCAGGGGGGCCCATGAGTTGTCAGTCCGCCCCTGTCCCGGCCCTTTAAGGTGTTTGTGATGCCGGGAGGGTGGGCGGGGTTTAGGGTCATATGACTGCTGTGATTGACTGTCACAGCAGTCACATGATCGGAAAGCTCCCGATGACAAGTAGTGACCGGGACCTTTCCATGAGTCTCTAGTAAATGTACCAGGAGCTCGCAGGGCGTGCGCTCTCGGCACATGTTTGTTTACATTGGGTATGCAAATATGTGTCCTCTCGGCTTCAAGGTCCAGTCGCTAAGAGGCCACATATTTGCGTACTGTCGGCGCCAAGGAGTTAAGCTAACCCTTACAATTAAAATGTAAAAATAAAAGTTTGACCTAAACCCTAAACTTTAAACTTCACTTGTGTGTCAAGGCAAAAAAAAACCCAATATATTTATTACATCTCTGGAATGCATGCACATTTGCCCATATTTTATCCCTATTAAACACATTGCAAGTACAAAATAATAACTGTGGTTGTGCTAGAAATATAGTACGTTTCTATATTCCTCTTTCTCTTGACAACAGAGCACTTAATTTCCAAGTATGAGGTGTCAACCCTGCCTAATTCATTTCTGATGAATTATAAAAAACACAGACCTTTCCAACTCAATAACCCCTCCTCGTGCACAGGCAGAGAGCATGGGAAGTTTATCACAATATTTCTGGCAAAAATCAACAGGTATTTTTGCACTGAAATGCAGAAAATAAAGGAAAGTTCAATATTAGGGGTTTACACGCATTTAAAAAAATCCCCTAAAGTTGTCCTTGAAATTAGCTGAACCTAAAATGGTGCAGTTATCAAATGTATCCCTTAATAAAGTAATATACATTTTATTATATATATATATATATATATATATATATATATATATATATATATATATATATGGAACCAAGTCAATGATAAATGTCCAGTCATTAAAAAAAAAAAAAGAAACACAGGAAAGGAAAGTTTGACTACTCTAACCCAGGGGTCCTCAAACTACGGCCTGCCAAAGACATTTACCCTGCCCGCCGGGCCAGCTGGAAAAGAAAAAAAATTGCACCGACCGGCAAATGGCTAGGCCGCTCGTTGGGTCCTCGGCCAAAAGGACCCAGAAAGTTGCAGCCTGGAAGCCCCTAATTTCACCTGCTGCAGCCAGAGGAGCAACAGAAGAGGAGGAGGAGAGCACACCAGGTAGCAGATACAGTGCATTGTGGTGTCCAGTGTATTAGTGTACAGTGCATTGCGGTATCAAAGTGCATTAGAGAGTACAGTGCATTTGAAATATTGTATTTTTTTTTTCTGTTTTTTTTTTGCAATACAAATAAGATATGTTCGGTCTGCTTAGGAATTTGTTCACATTTTTTTCAAACTATAGTCCGACTCCCCAAAAGTGTGAAGGTCAGTGAACTGGCTCCCTGTTTAATAGTTTGGGGAACCCTGCTCTAACCAGTCAAGCCTTCGCTTTTTATTTGTTTTCATTTCCTCACCTGTAATAAAAGAAATCTATGTTGTTCTGTTTGGTATGGGTAACACTTGTTTTCCTATCTTTTTTTTTTATTAAAGAGTCTTTGTTGTATGAAAGCAGGGAATAACATATTGTCATTTTCTTTCTCTAGATTTCAGTATGAATGGACTGCTTCCTATGAAATAAAGTGGAACCATTTAGCATGCATGGAGCTTTATCATATTAATAGGCAGCCACAAAGACTAGATGAATGCAACAATGTGGACTGGGGCTATAATGTCAAAGACCCAAAAGCCTTTTGTTATGAGAACCATTGTGTTACCTCTGCTTTGTCGCCCGATCAATATGAGTCGATATCACTGAGTACTTCTGATGAAGGTCATGGTCTTAAATTATCTCAAGATGACTACAGCAAAGAGAGGAGGAAAGTTTGCTGCTTGGAAGAACTGGAAACCTCTTTTACATACGTTGATGAAAATGTCAACATAGAACTTGTCGCCCATCCAACTCTTAGGGACGACCATGGCCACCAGCACCAGGTCTCAGATAGGGAAATCCAACAAGATGGCATTAATGAAGCTTCCATTATGTCTGATGATGAAGCAACTTCAGAAGCTTCAGGAAAATCTGTAGATTATGGCTTCATTAGTGCTGTGACGTTCCTAATAACTGGGATTCTTCTTGTTATCATCTCATACCTGGTCCCCAGAGATAACAGATCTGATCCAAATTCCATCCCAGCAAGGGAAATGGAAAAAATTGAAAAGAAAAATGCTATAATTGGAGCTCATTTGGATAGGTGTGTAATTGCTGGACTTTGTCTGTTAACTCTAGGTGGAGTTGTGTTGTCGATTTTATTGATGATATCAATGTGGAAAGGTGAACTCTACAGGAGGAAAGCATTTGCTGCTAAAGACTCTGCAAAACTGTATGGATCCATTAATTTTAACCATTCCAAGTCTGGTGGAACTGAGAATACCTTGGTCCAGGAGGAAACAATTGACATAGTTGCCTAAGTACCAATATGTTTATGTGATAAAAGTAAAATGCATTGTATGATCAGTGAAATACCACAGATGGAGAAAGTGGACTGTGGGATGACCACAAGGTAACTGAGATTTTGCCACCATCCATCAGTGTTTATATGAGCAGAATGAGCATTTAATAGGAACCAGCTTTACCTCTCTGAGATGGCTTGATTTGGTATTATTTCCATGTATACCTCCCAGGCTTAATACATCAGTTGTCAGCCCTGAGCGCAAGCAGCATCCAGGTCAGCTTCCATGGGGACCTTACAGTTTGACACTGAGCTGACTTTTCTGCTGTTACTGAAAGATAATATAACTAAATACTAGGATATACATACAGTTATCGCTGAGTGGTACAGTTTTGCTGCTATAACCACCTAACAATGGAGAGACAGCTGTCTATTCTTGGCCTGTTCATTTTAAAGGAGGAGACTAAAGTCAATAATAGGCTGCCCTCCCCAGCAAAAAATAGACATTTACATGAAACATGCAAAGACACATTAACTGTCCAAGTTTTCCTGTGCAATGCAAATGTTCAATGTGAGCCCCGTTGGTGACATGACAGATGATTGATGTTTACTATTGTTGTCACTCTTGTTAAAAGTTTTTACTTTTGCTCCATGACAACAATAGTAAATGGGCAAATGTTGAAAACAGAATGGCTTAAGCCACAGATGGAGGAAGATCTGCCCAACCTAGTCTTTCAGCAGGATGGCGCTCATCCCCATTTTAAACTGGATGTTTGTCAATACATAACTAATACCCCACCAGAACTTGGATCAGCTATGGAGGAAAGAACGATTTACTAATGTCGCTCCGGCCTCCATGATTGCCAGGCCTAAAATCCTGTGACTTCTTTCTGTAGGGGTACACCAAGGACTTGGTGTATGCCCCCCCATGCCACAGGACCTAAATGACCTGAGACGATGGGAGCTCACGTAGAACATTTGTAGTGCAGGGGCAAAACTTGGACAGTTAATGTGTCTTTTCATGTTACTACAGTTGTGTTAGGTTCATTACATTATGATGAAATCAGCTTTACTTTTCAACCATCATTTTTGAATCACTGAACAACCCCAATTCCAAAAAGTTTGCTTTTTTATTTTAATGGGGAAATTGCGTTTTGAATTGAACTTCACGGATATGCATGAAAATGTGTCTGCAGCAGGGGCGGACTGACCATTTGGAAACTCGGGCACTGCCCGAGGGCCCAGGGTCAGTAGGGGGCCCCATGAGATGCCCCTGGTACCTTTTTCATAGGATTTTTTGAGGTTTGGGCAAGGACACAGGGGCCCCATGATCCCCTATTTCCCGGGGGCCCCATGAGTTGTCAGTCCACCCCTGGTGTGCAGTTTTTACATGTATTGCACAGTGCTAGGTTTGCACTTTGATAGCTTTTCATGCATTTCTAATAATTTTAGTTAAAACACATATACATGAAAAGTATAAATGTAGCTGGGAAGGAATCATCAGTAAAATTCTGGCTGAATTTCTGAGTAGGAAAGTTATACAAAATATTAGTGCCTTCACAAGAACAATCTGCAGAAATGATAAAAAGGTTAAAGCGGAATTAAACTCTCCTAATCAACATGACCTATTTTTAATCCTTATGCTGCTAACCTTAGTAAATAGATAGAAAGGTGTATTACATTTACTTACTTTACCTTTTTTCATTTCTTCAGTTACTTCCTGGTTTCTTGCCTAGGCCAAAGTGATGTCATGCATCCCAGAAGTCTTCATGGGCATTTTTTTTCTTTTTTTCTGGAGGAAGGGAGGAGGAGCTTTCTCAGCTAAGCACTCGTCTTCCTGCCTGCATGTCTGAGCTAAGGGCAGATGGATTCCAGGAAGTGACCATAGCTAGAAATGCTAGGGTGGTGTTTTTTTTTTAAAGCGATTTTTCAACAAATTAAAGCATGGAGACATGGATGGATGGGTGAGTTTGCTGTGAATATTCAAAATGAGTTAATAGCACTTTCAGTTTGTGGCGCTCAGATACAGTTTAGTTCCGCTTTAAAGTGTATGAAATTTTTCACAACTCAATGGGCCTCCTCCTATGTGATGGTTATGTATCCAAATTTTCTCTCTTAAAAAGTACTTTGTGTATGTAAGACAATATAAAACATCTTTGTTTTCTGTATATAGTGTAATCATCTTCATCAACCTATACAGTGTACTTTAGACACAACACCGTTTTCTGACATATTGCAGGTCCATGGTATTAATTCAGAGAGTGTATGTTAAATATTCTGTCAAGAACTTGATGAGAATGTTGTGAAGATCATCCAAGTGGGCAGCTGTACTCCATCATTATGAAAAGGTTATATTTGGCCATACCTGGGAAATTGCTTTTAGAAATTTCAACACACATTCAGCTTCTTTGCATTATCCGAATGGCCATCTGTGAACTACATCTGTTGTTTGAATTGCCATGCATTATTTTCTAATATTTACCATCAAAGCGAGTCTTTCTAGACGTTTTTTTCTTTCAAAAAGAGATCAGCTGATTTTTCTAAGATAATTAACACGTTTTAATTTTGATTGTAAAATTCAGTTCACAAAGATTATTGCATAGGATATGATTCCATAAATCCCAGTCAAAGCCTCAGTAATTATTACTGTAGTGCAGTCAGAATTAATAAATAGACTTTCATATACTTTCTGTATTTTTCTACAATCACTCCAGCAATGAAGTGTATGTGAGTGCTTTTAATATGAGCACTGTGCAGGGGCGCTGGCTGCATTATTTGTAGGAGCAGTGGTCCGGCTCCCCATCGTGATGCTGGCACCAAGTATTTTCACTTTTGCCGCAGCACCTAGTATTTAAAAAAAAAATCAGATGTAAGAGAATATTATTACTGTATATGCAGTCTAACTACATTACAATAGAGTCAGAGGCTTCAAATGTACTCTGTTATTAGCAAAAAAAAACTACTGTGTGTATAAAGTGCAGGGACCTCAGGTCCCCAAATTGAAGAAAGTGGGTTGGGGGGGGGGAGTGGGGGGAGGTTGGATGGGCTGTGTCGTAATTCAAAGGGGATTTCCAGTAGAACTCTAACTAAGCCTAAATCTACCCCCCCCCCCCATTCTAAGACTATTCTAACTACCCTGTGAAAGAAAGAATGCCTATAATTACCTATTCTGAAGCTGCTCTGGTCTCATTATCGGGTCCCAGTGCCGGCTTCTGTATAGAGGAGAGGCAGTGACAATGGCTCCAGGGGCTGGGCAATGACATCACCCATAGATTTACTATGGGGCATCCGTTGTCGGTTGTCCCTCCTCTACACTGAAGCCAGCGCTGGGACCTGATCATGTGACTGGACCAGAGCAGCTTCAGAATAGGTTATTATAGGCATCTTTCCTTTCACAGGGTACCCGCTGGGATCCAATCATGTGACAGGACAGGAGCGATTTCAGGATAGGTAAGTATAGACTTCTTTCACAGGGTAGTTACAATAGTCTTAGCATGGAGGTGGGAGTAGACTTAGGCTTAGGCTAGGTTCACACTGTGGTGGGTGTTTGCGGGTAGTTGCGGATGTGGGAATCGCAGCTGTTCCTGTACCTGCAACCACCTGCAGCCAAAATGCGCTGCTCTGTAGAGAGATGCGGGGTTGCCATTTATTCTTAAAGGCACCCCCATGCATCCAAAAACGCAGCGCCTTTTTTCTGCTTGAAACTAAGGCACAGCAGCCCATTCAAATGAATGGGCTGCCATGCCCACGCAAACACAGGCTGCAAACCCGCAACAGTGTGAACCTAATCTTAGTTAGAATTTGACTGGTATTCCACCACTATATTTTGCTGGTCTTCCAGGTTGATTAATGAGTCTTTCACACCACTTCCTGTGAACCCAAGCTGTCATGGATCCTCCACCCATGACATTGAAGAAGAAGAAGTACCTGTGACATCATACCAGTCTAAAGAAGGCTGGAAAAAAAATTATGTAGAGGGTCTTATAAAGCGCAACTCTGGAATTTACAAACCCTTGTATTGGGCTTCCCATACTGCAGTCAAATGCTATTTACCTCTAGGTAATGAGGAATTAGGTGTATTCCTCCTCTATGGACTATTACTCCAAAATGGGGGAGTCTATAATGTACTCTAGGCCAGAGTCACATGCTGATGTCATCAAGTACAATGCAGGCGCTGGAGTTCCACTTTATCAAATCTGAAATTCTGGAAACTGATTTTAATGCACCTGATCTTGTTTACAACCGATGTATATATGTGAGAACTGATTTTCTTTTTCTTTCAAAATAAAGTGTTTTTTGTGCAGAAACACTGACACTTTCATTTGGCTCTGGCAGTGTGAGCAATTTTTCTGTTCGCATACAGTATGTCATACATTCATTGCTTTTATGTGTTTCACATTTTAAATCATGACCCTATTAAAAAGTGAAATTAACTGCTGAAATGCTAATGCAACCAAGAAATATTCAGCTCTGCTAGATGTTTTATCCTTCTGTTATGTGAATAAAACAAGTAACTGAGGACAGAGACAATAAACCCTGACATCATGTTTATTATACACGTTATAAATGTCCATACAGTTGCTGATGAGTCACATAGTATGCAAGTTAGCAAATTTTTAAATTTACTTACAAAAGCATAGCAAATCCAAACACAAATCATAAGAATGATAAGCTTTTATCATGAAAGTTGAAAAAGCACACAAGGCATACTTAAAATGGCAAAAATCAAAAAAAGAAATATTTTTCTTAAACGGCAATTTAATTTGGGAAAAAGGAAGGACGTGCAGGGAGCTATAGAAGATTTGGGGGTAAAAGTCTGCTTTAATCTAACTTATAGTGGTTTATTTATTGTATTTACTCTCTGGCGCTTCAGGAAATGGACAGCCAAAGGGAAACCAAGGGAACCAGGACAGAGATAACCAAAAGAAGATGCTTCAGGGGTGCAGCCCTCCTCAGACAGGGAGATCAGCCACTAGATAAAGAGTAAACAGGTGGCACACACACCTAGTGCATTATCCA